ACATGGTGAAACGACTCTACAAAAAAATATAAAAATTAGCTAGGCATAGTGGCGTGTGCCTGTACTCCCAGCTACTCAGGAGGCTGAGACTGGAGAATCACTTGAGCCCAGGAGGCGAAGGTTGCAGGGAGCCGAGATTGTGTCACTGCACTCCAGCCTGGGTGACAGAGCAAGACTCCGTCTCAAAACTGCACTTCAGTCTGGGTGACAGAGCAAGACTCCGTCTCCAAAAAAATAAAAAAATACTTTTTAATTATGGATGCAAGTGATTGATATTTTATTTCAATCTTTAAAATTTTCTACTCATCCTTTTCCCAAGATTCCTCAACTATTAAAGTAGGCTACAGAAAAAAGTGACAACTTAAAACCATTTAATTCTTAATATTTTGAATCAAAAGAAAACAGATGTAAATTGTGTGTTGAGGATGACTGACAATTGTAAACATCATTTAACTCTTTGATTTTAAAACAATTATTTTATAATCTTATAGTAACAACCAAATATATAGTTTTATAAAACCATATATGGTTAGTTTCTATGTAAGGTTTTTTTTTTTTTTTTAAGTTTGAAAATTATTTATAATAAAAGAGCACCAGTCAGCCAGCCAAGCTGAGTTCTGATCATGCTTTGCTACTTAACTGTGATTTTTGGCAAGCCTCTTTCACTTTTGACTTTTTTTTTTAAAATTCTGGGAAGTGCCTTGTAGTTTACTGTGCATTTCACAGCCCATTTCCTCTCAATATAACTGCAAAGTAGGATGAGTATTTCTTCTTAATAAAAGTATTGTAGGGACTTTCTAAGTGCATCCTTTTAAATGTGTTACAGTTGAAGTGCCAGGTGGGCAGAGCCAGTTTTCCGGTTTACAGCTTATGTTATTCAGTGTTTTATGGACAGAAAGATACCCAAGTATGTAGGTTTCTAGAGTAGTTTCTTTAAAAGTTTGGAGTTCTTAAGTTTTATATAAACTTTTCGACAGTTGATTAGTGTATCAATTTATCTGTGGCCAAATCTAAACTTAAAATCCTGATTCCTCTTCGAAAGGTGAACATAGTGAGTGATATGAAGCAGACAGAAAAAGCTTTAAGAATTGGGTGCAAATGTTAACTTACCAAAGATCATAAACCTAATCGTTTGTATTATTACTTAAATTACATATAGAATATAAAGAGAAGTGAACAAAAGGCTATTTTGGAACAGGATTCTCACAGTTAATGTAACATGTTCAATTTTGGATTTAGTGTCAGAAAACAAGAACATGACTATAACACCTTTCTACTTTAGAAGTGTAACCACACGCGTTGTCCAAAGCCGTCCCATCTCCCCCTTCTGATGTGGCCAATTGGGTGGTGGTTCAGCCTGCTCATAGAGAATCGCTTAGTATTTCCCTGCCAATTACATTTTTGTTGAGGGTAGGTTGGGCCTTGGATAGCTTTGGCTAATTAGACAACTGACTACATCATTTTCGTCAGATGTGTTGTCTACATTTTACAAACTCTTTTTCATACATTTTAGTCACCAAAAAAACATTGAGTGGGCTGTACCAGCAAGTTGTGGTGCATCCTTTGCGGCCGCAGCACCTGGGGTCCTTCGTCTGCTCCAATCAGATCCGCACTCTCATCCGGGCAGCGTGCTAACAGCCAGTCTCTTACGCCAACACGTCATCTCATGCCGACAGCGTGCTGGAAAGCATGTTGGTGTCCCTTAGGAAAGACAAGCAGGTGTGGTTGCAGGAAGGTGGTGGAAGTGGACGTTACCATCTGATGTTTTGGTGTCCTGAAAAAGTTCATTGTTTTCATACTGCTGTAGTCATTATTTTTGTTGTGTAGCCATTCATGTCAACAAATAGTGTTGGCTAGTGGAACTCCCAGAACAGTAAGGCATATAGAGATTCTCTCTTGAGATACTGCTTTGTGGTATGAACACGTGTCCATTTCACATAGGTTGTGCAGAAGGAGAGTTAGTAATTAGGGTAGAATATTAACATTTATGAAACACCACAACCCAGCTAGGTTTAAATATTTTTAAGTATTTGTGATTTTTGAAATTATAGTTTTAAGTTAATGGTTATTAAAAATTTGAAACTCCAAAAAAGTTGCCTTTGATCTTTGTTGATGTTTCTATGAGTCTACAATTATTTTCTCTTCAAACATGGGCTTATAACTTTTTCACCCATTCTTAATGGACTTTTTAAAGGCAAGATACATAAATCTGCTGCATTATATTTAGTGAATGTAATATGTGGTTATATCAGAATTCAACCAGTAACCTAATAATGGATATTTAAGTTAAATACACTTTTACATTACATAATAAGGCTATTCTTCAACTATTTTATTTCTTAAGGTGACCTATGTATTTTTAAAATTTACTTTGTAAACATGAATTAGGAATAAGTTCTACTTTCTAGGAATTTACAGGGAATCAGTGTGACATAGGGGAAATAATTTGTTTAGGAGTTAGAAGACTACTGTTAATCTTGTTTAATAATGTAATAGCTATTTGATCTTTCCCTAATTACTCAAATTCTGTTTCCGTTTAACATCTATAAAATGGAGATACTTTTGTTAGGACAAAGTGAGATAATTATGTGAAAGTTTTTAGTAAATTATTTTTTTTTTAAATCCCAAGATGTAAAGTGATAACAATACTATCTTTACAAAAAATATATATTTAAAATGGTAGATAATGTTTGTAAATGTGAATTCCATTTTTGCTCAGACTTTAGTATCAGTCGTATCAACCCTTTTAAATTATCTGTAGAAGTACCATAATCCCCAAATTATCCAAAACCTGTTTTATAAGTTATAAGTAAAATGTATAGAATGAATAAATATACATAAATGCTATTGAATTAATTTAAAAGCACTATAGAAGATTTTCAGATATTTTCTTAAATACTAAAAGAATAATTGTATGTCAGATAATTGTGTAAATTATTTATAACAGTAAAAGTAGACTTCATACTTGAACAAATTGGAAACATACATTGTAAAATTGCTTATTTTCCTACATATACATTGTTAATCTTCTACACATGACTGAATAGCAGACAAAGTAAAAAGTGACTGAGGCAGTTTGGTGTAGTATAAAAATACTAGCCTGGTGTCAGTGAGGCCTGAGTCTAGTTTGAATCAACTAATCTTTGTGGAGCCACCTATTTGGGGCTAAGTACAGTGAAGAATACTACAGTGGTATTGTCATCAGTACCATTTACAATGTACTCAATGTTGTACTCATCTTGAAAGAGGCGGTTGAGCTGTATTCTGAAACATGGGTAGGATTTGAACAATCAGAGGCCTTGAAGAAGAATCAGTATGATATAGAAATAGGCATAGAGTAGGGTAGAACATGGTTTTTGGTTAAGAAATTCTTTTTGGCTGGAGCAGGAAATGTATAATAGCTAATAAGACTGGAAAATAAAATGCTGGGATCAACTTCTGGTAGTGTAGGAGCTTGGATCAAGCTATAGTAAGCTGTTGAAGATTTGTGAATAATGATATTGGAGTCATGTTTCCTTCCTTCTTTCCTTTTTGTTTT